TCCCGCCAACTCTCTTCCCTTACTGCCGTGCTAAGTAAAAACGTCAAAGGAGCAATCTGCCGTGCTGAGAAAAAACGCCGTATGAACATCCAGGCGTTGCCAAACTTTCTCTGGCAAATCACTAATTTTCAGGAAAAATTTTGAATATTTTTCTGCCCATTTTTCAAGCAGACCTTAATTTTGTTTGTAATTTGATCTACAGTGTCTGAAAATTTCGAGGGAGAATATTCACAATTCTTATAGCTATATATACGATATAGTTAGTTAGTTAATTTTATTTAACGACGATCAGCATCTAGGCTATTTAAGTCGGGGACTAGGCAATTTTAAATTTTTAAATTTAGTTTCTTGAAGAGTTTTAAAATTTCTGTTACTACCATTGGACTATCTGAACACAACATACGATATAGCTATATATATATATATATATATACACGATTCTTATAGCTATCATTGTTGGCCGTTTAAGGTGAAGTTATCGCAAGGTTAAGCCAACATCGATATATCTAACACACTACTACCTATAGAAACACCAGGAAAATGTGAATGTATTCAGATTTTCTAAACTCACCATTATCACTAAGAAATGACATTTTTGTCTTGAAAACGAATGGAAACGCTGTATCAAACACGGCACTAGAAGAGCAGCTCACACACACATAAATAAATAGAAAATCGTATGGAAAAATGAGCTACACATCATATAAGGCATCTCCTTCTCTAGAATTTTCTCAAGAAAATTTTCTCATTGCGTCACGCTCGTGTGAAATTGAAAATAATTATCCCCTAACGTTTCCATGTGCAATTGACCGGACACGGTTTGAAAATCCACCGTCACTTGCTCACCTCTATTTACTCGTGTATCGCTCGACGGGTCATAACGAGCTGAGTAAATACCCAGCAAGTTCACTGTTGATGCGGAACTTATGAATGGTGTGAAGTGTCCACTTCATGGAGTTTGGATATTTTGAGGGCTTGCGTTCACGGATGGACTCTGGTTCAAGGAGATCGATGTTGAGGAGTCAAACAGTAGAAATTTTCTGGAAAGGTGCAGAAAGGAATACCCTCTCGGCCTTGGTAATGGACCACTAGACAAGGTACGAATTTCAGCATTCTGATACATGTTTCGCAACTAAAATTTCACGTAGAACACGATGCGCACAACAAAAATTACCGAAATTAACTCCTCACGAAGATATTTAATGTTTCTTGACGCGTGAATTCAAACCACCCGCTCATGAAAACTCAATGCTCTACGTGATTCACATCGCGCGCTAAACGTTAATCATGACAGTCTCTGTGTTATAAAAATCTGGCAACCTCAATATTGACGCTTTGGCTCAGCTATAGCAAATTGCTAATAGTTTGAACAACACATGGTGGGAAATGAACATTGCTCGATTGAGAAGCTTGCTGAAACCATTGTAGTGCGCGATTTGACTCACGTAGAGCTTTGAGTTTCTTGTGAGCGGGCAGTTCAAATTCCTCGTAACCAATGTGAAATAAAAACGTTAATATCTTCCTTAGGAGTTGGTTTCAGTAATTTTCGTTGTCTGAATCGTGTTCTACGTGAAATTCTGGTTAAGAATCATGTATCAGATTGCTTAAATTCGTACCTTGTCTAGTGGTCCATTTTTGAATTTTTCGAAATCGAGTTTCCTTCCAAATTCGTCTAATCTCTTTTAAATGAAATCAACAGCTAAAACGGCAAAAATTGTCATATTTGTGTATGTCGCAGGCAATTGGCAATCGCCGGCACTTTACAAGCCAGTGGTGAATAAATATAGAAAAGCACAAAATTCAAAAATAAAAGAACAAGATTAGAGTGATGATTACGTTGCCTACAATGTGAATAGACACTTCATCCTTTAAAACGTGGTAGGAACAGGCACACTTATTAGAAGAGCGTGCAGTAAATTCCATGACTACAGTTGGGTTGAGATTGGACAGGCAACTAAACTAACATCGTGATAAAGCGTAGAGTATCACAAAAAATGAAGGCACTTCAATTCGAGTTCATACTTTTGAAGACCATAATCCTTAAAAATTGCACTAGGCCGATGCGCATTATTGCGATTTATTGAAGCAACGTGTGAACCGCTTGCAAATTGCCGGCGATTGCTAATTGCCTGCGACATATATAACAACGAGACATTTGAGGAAACCGTAAGTGGAAAAAAATGACCTTTTTTTACCAATTATTGGTAATTTTACCAATATGGTAAGCTCACCTAAAAACCGGTATTTTTACTGTTTTTTCCAGGTAAGAATACCACTCTTATTGGTAATCAATTCCCGGTTCTTTGCCATTTTATCTCGGTACTTCTACCACAGTCGATAAAAAATATTGGCATTTTTACCGGGGTCCCGTAAAATTATCGAGAAAGTCAATAATTTTACCGAGATTTTTCGGTAAAGTTACCAATTCCATACATGGTAATTTTACCAAGAAAAAACTGGGATCAAATAGAACCCTGAATTCTTGGTAATTTTACCCTTTTCTTTGTAAATGCACCGAGATTTTTTTTCCAGTGTGTGACGCCGCAGAGTGAGACACGTGGTTTGAGGAATTCGCCGTTGATCTGCGTGAGCATAAAGTTTGAATGTCATGCCCTTGTAACTACAACAGTGTATGAGAGCTTACTCCAACACAGTTGTTAAACGTTTCGCAAAACTCGATTCCAACTCTTCATGTCTGGTTTTGTACTATTGATCGCTTGAAATTTGGCATCGCTGCCGAGGAGAGTAGAGCTCATCCCGGCCACATGGTTTACGATCGCAATTAGCATCATTATGTTAATCACAATGTATCTTTCATTGGTTTCGCAAGCTTTTTCCTGTGTTGCCGCTAGCGATGAAAATTATTTTTTCGTCATTGCGTTATGTATAATACTTGACGCATCTGTTCACTCTGGCGACATTGTATCTAGTATATCGACGGTGAAACTGCCAAACCACGTATCTCGGTTTGCGACGTCGCAGACTTCCTGTCATACTTTATTTTTTAAATAGAAAACTACTCAATGTCAATTCGTGAAAACTACCGTGATTTTTCCTCTTGGTGCGGAGAAAAATCTGTGAAAATTGTAAGGAATGATATTGATTTGACCACCTTCAAAAAAATGAAATGTGAGTGGAGATTTTTAAACACCGCAAACGAGATACGTGGTCTGGTAGTTTCACCGTCGATATCCTGTCTTTAAATCACACGTAGTTTTGCGCAAAAGTACTGCGTTGACTAAGTAGAGGCTCCGATTAAAATAATCTACTTACATACGAGCTAAAATTACTAAGAGTTTATTTCTAAATAAATCAATCTCTCCTTAATTTCTGATTTTAAAAATTCGCTCACGCACGAAATATGCAAAATGTGCGTCAAGGTATCCATTTTTAAATTTTTACTCTAGGAAAACTCAGGCTAAACAATTCGATTTATTTAGTACGTCAGGAGGTGCAATTTTATATATTGTTTGCCTATAAATAACGTTAGGTACTTACTGCTTGTTAGGTTATGTTTTTCAGCAGACTCTTTACTTTGAACACAAATAACCCTGCGTTTAAGTCTCCAAATATTGTGATGAAACTTAATTTACGTCTCGTTACCTCTCTCACGTTTCAGTTCACGATCAGGCCAATCAGTTAGAGAGATCTGTTTTTGCTTCAGCAGTAAACGATGAATCAATGGTAATTTTTATTTAAGCTTAACATTGGTATTAAATATCAATTGTAAATGTATCAAGAGGGGCGTAAAGAGATCATTTATATTCGCTGTTTCTAGCAATCTCATATCCAGTCTAACATGAGCCTTGAGGCCCTTAAAAATATATGTATGACGGGGATCATGTCACAATGGATATAAATCTTTCTGATTTACAGGTGTGGCTTAAGCAGGATCAGTTTCACTACATCAGACGTTGCCTGATTTTATCTCAAGTTTTATTTTCCTACTGAAAAATGAAGAAATATTCTGATCTGAGGTATACCTAATCGTCGTCTAGAAAAAAATTATAAATAAATATAAATAGATATGAGAGGAAGTTAGGCAACGTAAAATTCAGTTAGGCTGATTTTGGTTAAAATCACCTAATTGAATAAGTAACGGTACTCAAGACTTTTTTAATTACGGATGATTCCTCGTTCACGATTTGAAATTTCATTAAATTCTGCCACTGTGCTCTGAACGCATCACGTTCCCTCGTAAATTGTATCTCAACGCAGTTTTTTGAAACGGGGTATTTCCATCTGTGACGTGGCGTCCTTTGCAATAAATCGATTGATCTACCACTTAAACCTATGGTAAAAGATCGATAAGCAGGGTGTCTGCAAGGTACACCTTAATAATCGATTCTTTACCAGAATTTCAAATACGGATTGTCGATTGTCGATCATTCGTGCTCCACCACGGCTTTTCATTCTCATGCCGGCGAGTTGACGAGTTGCTGGTTTTGTTGCAGGTGATGCGGCGGAGGTATGTCGGTAGGTCAGTATTGTTATGACGGAGGGTGGCTGACCTTGAGGCACAACAAAAAAAGAGGGTCGCTCTGATTCTGGTTTCCAGGTCAGTTGGGCGCCTGCGCCTCGCTCTTTATCTTGCCAAATGGTATTTTAAACGTATGAAATGCTATTTACACGTCATTTCTATGTAATGATTTAAAATCTGGCACCTATGTTGTTCCTCGAATGTGTTCTGACCATACGCACACCGACACGTTGGTCAGCGTTTACTTTTTTCGTGTATGTTTTTGTGTTTGTGATAGCGAATAGCAAAATATAACTTTTGAATGAAAAATATAATAAAGCTTCAAGAATTTTAAAACCTCAAAGTCCACAAATTGATGTTATTGGGAATTTGGTAAAAATTTGATACCCATCAGTATTCCTGCCGAACTGAGAAAATGTCATGCACTATCTCAAGAAAACAGGTTTCCTTGACCGTTTCTGGTAGTTCTGAGGAAAACACTTGTTGCATCATGAAAGCAATTAACTGTACCGGGAAAACTCATTATTCGAGCAGAAATATTCTTGGATTTCCCACCATGAAGAAAATTCTCTTGAATAAAAAAAACAGTATATACTTTTATCACGAAGAAAGTAGCTATCAATTAAAAACCGAGTTGATTTAAGTCTCTTTTCCCAGTATATACTAAGCAAAATTGTAGTTTCCAAAAATAATTTTGCATATCATGATGAACTTTTACTCCCTGTTGTAAAAGTCAAAGCGATGACCAACGGTGCGACAAAATTAAAAACAAGCAAACTTCATAGCTTAAAATTTATACAACATATTCTGCTGATAGAGAATAAATAAGGGAAGTTCTCAAGAAATTACGTTGACTAATTTTTCAAATAAAAAATGAAGTTCGACCGAAAATCTGCAACGTTGCAATTAGGATACGTATGGTTTCGCCGTTTGATCATCGAAATAAGAATACAGTCATTGTCACAGGTTAAATTGGACTGCATTTAGCAAAAAGAAGCCAGCGTGATTACAGTGTTTAAAAAAACGCGCAACATCTCCTTTTCTTTTAAAAATACTCAATATATGTACAGTATTAGAAGTTACACAATTATTTTCCTTTAAAA